AATTTGAAATCCTTTGTGAGTTTATTCACAGATAATAGGAAGCAAGGAAATGGCTTAAATCTAAATTTTATCCCACCTGCTCAGGCTAATTCTGTCTCATTTACTGCGGATGAGTGGAAAGAGGGTGAATCATACTGGAAGCATGCCTTAATTGGGCATGTTATTGGGCTTAATGTCAGGTATAAATCAATGGAAACTTATGTAAAGAAGCTGTGGGAGAAAATATCTATCCCTGAAGTGCATTTAATTAGACCTGGTATCTTCCTCTGTGATTTTCAATCTGAAAAGCATAAGGATGATATTCTGGAAGCTGGACCTTGGTTTTTTGGCTCAAGACCTTTAGTTCTTATGCCTTGGAAGATAGACATTGACATGGAGAAGTTACAAGACAATAGCTACCCTATGTGGGTTCAATTCCCCAACTTGAGGTTGAATTTATGGTCTGCTACTGGGATAAGTAAAATTGCTAGCCTTATAGGGAAACCAATCACTACTGATAAACTTACAGCATCAAGACAGAGGATTTCCTATGCTAGAGTGCTTCTTGAGATTAACCTCCCTTTAAAAACCCCCTTGCCTGATCAGCTCATAATTCAGGATCCTGATGGGAAATGTTATACTCAGAAAGTAGTATATGAGCTCAAGCCAAGATGGTGCGATTCTTGTAATATTATTGGCCATGTAACTGAACATTGTAGAAGGAAAGCTGGAAGGAAAGTTTGGGTTCCTGTTAATAAGACAGCCACTCAAGTCTCTGGTGCACATGCAAAACAAAATGGTGTGGTGACATCTGAAAAGGAAAAGGAAATCTCCAGAGAGCAAACTCAGACTCAGGAAGTGGTTGAGCATGTTTTCATAAGACAACCTGGAAATAAGGAGCAAACACCTGAAAAACATGCACAAACAGTAAAAGTCAATGGTGAAAATGCTGGCCTAACTTATGTTCTACAATCTCCCACAGTGAATGCCACAGGTTTTACCAGTATCAGCAGAGGAAATTATGCCAGCAGAGTTAACTCTAAAGCAAAAGCAAATGCTGAAGGTGTATCATATTCTCAGGTATCACTTTTCTCCCCCCTGGATCAACAGATGCAAGAATTAGACCTCTCTAGTGTTGATAGAGGTGGTACTATATCTGGATGCACCTAGCTATTTGGAATGTTAGAGGATTTAATAAATCCTCTAAACATATGATGGTGAAGCAATTCATACATCAATATAATCTTCCTTTTATAGCTCTTTTAGAAACAAAAGTTGTTAGTGATAAATTGCAATCTATTGCTAAAAAAGTGGTTAAAGACTGGACTTGGATCTCTAATTGTCATCAAGCAAATAATGCTAGGATTTGGATTCTCTGGAATAGTGAGATTTTATCTGTTCAGCTCATAAATTCCTCAAATCAATTCATGACATGTGCAATAGCTTCAAAAGACAGCAAACTATCAGGTATAATCACTGTGGTATATGCTCTTAATGATATATCTGGAAGGAAATCCCTCTGGCATGATATCTTGGCTTTCAAACAATCTGTCACCAGTCCCTGGGTTATTGGAGGAGATTTTAACTCTATCATCAATAATGGAGAGAAAATTGGTGGTGCTATGGTAACTGAGTCAGAAACTGAAGATTTCCAGGATTTTATATCCTCGTGTCAGTTTGTGCATCTCAAAACCACAGGATGCTTTTATACTTGGTGTAATAAGCAAGATAAAGACACAAGAATCTGGAGTAGACTCGATAGAGTTCTTATCAATGAAGAATGGGTGCAACAATATACTTCAAGCCAGGTGGAATTCCTACCTCCATCTTGTTCAGACCACTCTCCAGCCCTTATTACCATTGTTGATGATACTTATGAGGGTAAGAGGCCATTCAAATTTTTTAAAATGTGGACTAACCACCCTGATTTCCTCTCAGCAGTAAAATCAGTCTGGGACCAAGATGTTGTGGGTTACAGAATGTTCAAATTTCATACTAAACTAAAGAAGCTCAAGGTTGTCTTAAAGGAGCTGAATAAAAAGCATTTTATGAACATTAGTGAACAAGTGTTGAGGGCTAAGGATCAACTTGCAGAGGCTCAAAAGCAACTAAACTCTGATTTGTTCAGTCCTGTGCTGATTGCTAAAGAAAGGGAATGTTTAAGCAAATATGTCAGGCTTCTTAACTGTGAAACATCTTTCTATAGGCAAAAAGCCAATATCAAATGGGGGATCTATGGTGACAAATGCACTCATTATTTTCATGCCATTATGAAAGCAAAAAGGCACAATAATAGAGTCTTATCTCTATATTCTGATAATGGAGATAGAATCACTGAAATGGATGATATCATTACAGAATTCACTGAATACTATCAGAGACTCCTTGGCACATCTCCACCTGTTTCCAGACCAGATTCTGAAGTGATTGCAAATGACCCTATTCTTTCCTCTTCTCAAAGCAATGATCTGATTCTCCCTATTTCCAGAGAAGAGATAAAACAAGCTATCTTTTCTATGCCTGATGATAGAGCTCCTGGCCCTGATGGATATAATGCCTCTTTCTTTAAAGCAGCTTGGAACATAATTGATGAGGACCTATACCTTGCAGTGGAAGAGTTCTTTAGCTCTGGCAAACTTCTGGGTGCTATAAATACCACTTCAATCACATTGGTGCCTAAGGTTTTAAATCCTAAAACTCCATCTGATTTCCGTCCTATTTCTTGTTGTAATTGTGTCTACAAAATCATTTCTAAGATTATTGCTTCCAGAATTCAGAGGGTTATGGGTTTTCTAATCAGTGAAGGCCAAAGTGCATTTGTTAAGGGGAGAATTATTTCTAATAATATCCTTCTTGCTCATGAACTTATCAAGCACTATGGTAGGAAGCATTCATCACCTAGAGCTACTCTCAACATTGATTTGAGAAAAGCCTTTGACACCATTAGTTGGGACTTTATTGAAGCTATGCTGGTGGGACTTGGTTTCCCAAATAGAATGATTAAATGGATTATGGAATGCATCACTACACCAAAATTTTCCCTGTCACTTAATGGATCTCTTCATGGATTTTTTCAAAGTGCTAGGGGTTTACGGCAAGGAGATCCTCTTTCTCCTTATCTCTTTGTACTGGGTATGGAATACCTGTCTAGAAAACTCAACTCTCTCAGACATGATGGGTTATTCAAATTTCATCCAATGTGCTCAAGATTAAACATTACCCACTTGTTCTTTGCTGATGATTTGCTGCTTTTTGGGAAGGCTGATATGTACTCTATTATTAAGCTTCACAACTGCCTCAAAGAATTCTGTCAGGTCTCTGGTTTGAGTATTAACCCTAACAAATGCTCAATCTACATGAATGGGATTGATGAGAATCTCAAAGCTCAGATTTGCTCATACCTTAATTTCCCTGAGGGGGTTTTACCTGTGAGGTATCTTGGTATGCCATTGATTACAAAGAGATTGACCTGGATGGACTGTTCCCCCTTGATTAGCAAAATCTCAGAGCAGATCCAGAATTGGCAAAAGAAAAGATCACTATCCTTTGCTGGCAGATTGCAGCTGATTAAAACTGTTATCCTGGGTATATATATATATTGGACTAGCAATTATCTTTTGCCTAAGAAAGTTCTTCAGAAAATTGATAGTATGTGCTCTGATTTCCTTTGGAACCATAAGATATCATTAGTATCTTGGGTTTCAATCTGTCAAGAGAAAAAATCTGGAGGCTTAGGTGTTTTCTCTGCTAGCTTTTGGAATCTTTCAGCGGCGCTTAAACTCTTATGGATGATCCATCTTAAGAAAGACATCTTATGGATAAAATGGATTCATGGTCATTATCTGCAGAGAGCTGATATCTGGCAAGTTCAGTCAAGATCAAATGACTCTTGGATGTGGAAACAAATAATAAAAGCCAGAGACAAATTGATTAACAGATTTGGGAATGTAGATAATCTGCAGGAAATTATTGGTAAATGCTGCTCTGGAGGAAAAGTACATATATCATCTGTTTACAGGTTACTGATACAACCTGCACCTCTAGTTGACTGGGCAAATACTGTTTGGGACAATATACATTTTCCTAAACATGCTTTCATCCTTTGGCTTGCTGTTCAATCAAGATTATTAACTCAGGACAGACTATGCAAGATGAACATCCTCAATACAAATCAATGTGTTCTTTGTTCAAGATATCAAGAATCCTGCAGTCACTTGTTTTTTGAGTGTCAGTTTTCAAATACTGTCTGGAATCTGGTGCTGGATTGGCTGAACTTCAGCTGGAGGTCGTGTGATTGGAGTTGTATTGTTAATTGGTACAGTCATAGGCTGAAGAGGAAGGGTTATACTGAAAAACTCAAGAGAATTGCTTTATCTGTCTCAGTATATCTGATTTGGCAGGAGAGGAATCAAAGAATTTTCCAGAGTAAAGCTAGACAACCTGTGGCAATCTTCCGAGATATTAAGTTCTCTATTTTCTCAAAAATTTTGAATGAAAAAATCCCAATTCATGTAAGAGATAGAGTTGAGTGTCTGTATATATCTTAGTTGAGTTTTGAGAACCAGTTTCTTATCTGGTTTTGATATGATGTAATTAATTCTTCCAAATTGGTAAATGAATATAAAGTTTTCATTGACCAAAAAAAAAATGATTGAAAATCCGTTCTCAAGAACTGCAGCATGATTACAAAGAAATCAGAAGAAATTGGAAATATGCACACAAACAAAGACTCTAAATCCGTTCTCTTGGTAAGCATTAAGAAATCTTGGTGAATCAATCTCTTTTTAATTGTCTCATTCTCATTGTAAGTTGCATTTTAGATAGTTTAGTGTCTGGTGGACTTGTTTGATCCCTTTCTACATGGAAGCGTACTTCTACAGAAGTCAAACACAGAAGCTTTCTGCTAGTATAAATGTATAATAGAATGTTTTAAAATGTTTGTATATGTTTAAATTTGTATTTATTATACTTCACTATTCGGATTTGAATGAAAACATTATAATACCTTTTTTGTGTTACAGGAAATTAACAGAGGGCCAAGTTTAAGGAAAAAGTTAAACAAATCTGATTTGAGCTGCTCTTTAACAGCAAGAAAACGAAGTTCTATTGGTTACATTGGGGTAAGTTATCTTCCATTTTTATCGCATCAAGAAAAAATATAACGTAATACATGATAGTAGTATCCAGAGCTTGCCTAGAGGATGTTATATACTCATGAACAAGGGTTTATGTTCTTTTCTAGTGTCGTGGTACATGTGCACAATACTTGTTCACCTGTACGTTTTTATGGCTGCTAAATGCACATATCACTTCTAAGTATATTCCCAGATGTGTTATACGTTTATACATTTATTTAAAATTAGATTAACTTTCTGCATCACAGAAAAAAACCCTTTTGATAAACATAATTTTCTAATGAGCTAGGATTAACATGGTTACATTTCAAATCCTATTATGCTGTCATAATGAAGAGTTTCATGCTCAATGATAATCACACATTTCAAAGCTCTTAAACTGTGAGTGCTTGACTTATTCAAGTTGGTAGGATCTTTTCCAAATGTGCTATTTGTCTATGCTTAAGAATATGTTTGTGGAATTAGTATTCAATATTCTCTTTTATGCAGAACTTGTGCCATTTTTCTTTAGTCGTTTCATTTTTGAGAAAGATAAGGAATTTAGTAACACAAACATATGTTATACAGTGACATCTGATCTTTGTAATTGTAATTTCAAAATTTCCCTCCTTCTCTTCTGTCTAAACTTTGCAAGATTCATTACTATGGTATTATTGCATATGGTGATCAAACACGAGGTTTCTAAGGCTTAAATATATGTCTACGCAACTATGTAAGATGGATTCATAGCTAATCTGGTCTCTTTGAGACACTTACACCTTTTGAGTTACAGAAGGTTTATGGATACTTTGTTTTCTATAGTTGAGTTCTACTTTTTCTATGTTTGTTCCTGAAAGCAAAGCTTGAATCCTGAAGTGCTTAAGCATTTTTATCAGGTTGCCGAGAAAGGAGTTCCAAGTTACAACAGAAGGTATTATTTGACAATTACTGAGCATGTTTGTTTAGCATATTGATGTATTTTGTGTCCTTATTCTTCCTTCTCGTGCATTCATCATTCTATCAGGAACTCTATGAACCAAACTCATCGAGTATATACTGGCAGAACTCCATCTTCTGAACAACGTGAACATGCAGAAAAGAGAGCACAAAAATTGCAAAAAAATTGGAGGTCTTGCAACCCCACATTCATTAAAACTATGGGATTGTCACATGTCTCCGGTAGCTTTTGGCTTGTAAGTTAAAGATTATAAACATGAGTTAAATGCATTGTGACTGACATATTCTACCACTGATATTTTAAATTTTCTTTTATTATGTTTAGAATATTCCTGTAAAATTCTGCAAGGAGAACCTCCCTGCTTATGATCAGCAAATGATATTACAAGATGAGGAGGGTTTGGAGTATAAGGTCAACTATATTAGTCATAGCACTGGTTTTAGTGGTGGGTGGTTAAATTTTGCGAGAGCGCATAAATTGGAACTTGGTGATGCATTACTATTTGAATTACACGGGCCAGCAATGTTTAAGGTATGATTGTGTTCTGCATATGCCTGTTTTCTGTACTTCATATGGATTATTTGTGCTTACCCTTGATATTCATGAAAGGTTTGAATTTTAGTCCTCTGTCGTTTAGATAGTGTTACGATACAGTTTTGTCCTACTACATATAACATGAACGCATTTGGTTTGTTTTTATAATTTGGAGCATTTCACATCCATTCGGTTGTTTTTTTTTTGTTAGGAGCCTTTCACATCCCTTAAGTGTGGGTGTGGGATTTGTCTCACTAAAATCATGAGTTTGTTAGCAACATAGCAGAATTCTACTGCAGGTTGACGAAAGAAAGAAAGAAAACAAAGAGAAATAATCCTGGATATACGGGGATTTAATTAAGTTCCACAATCAATGAGATTAATTATCTAATAATCAGTAAGGATTGCAGTCAATCTCTCAAATGCTAATCTCTCCATTGTCATTTCTATATTCTCTTTTGAATCCAATTAATAGCTGGGTGAAGCTCCATATTTATAGCATATGGCTTCTGTTTATAGGGTCCCACCTTTGATACGAGTCGCCGTGCGAGCACCCTTTGGTCGCGGAATTACCAAAAGATGGGTTGAGAAGAAGACAACTAAAACACAAGAACAATTCAGTATGGCGAAGAAAAATACCTTCTCCAAATTATGAAGAATCAATTATTACAAATCTCTCCCTCACAATCTCTCTAGAATCGAGAACAATCTCTCAATCCTCTCTAAACCCTAATACAATGATTAGAATCTCTCTTAATTCCCTCTGACTGCTTAGAAACCCTAAAACAATCCTTTATATAGGTGTACAAACGTGGATGGCAATCTGGTAAATAACCAAGCCCAAAACCAACAGGAATTCGTGTGAACAGAAACCCAAACGAACCATGAAACCATCGATAAGTCGACTCATGACCTCACATGAGTCGACTCGTAACTCATGGGTCGACTCATAAACTGATGAGTCGACCGAGTAGAAACTTTTGACAAAACGGCTGGGTTTCGTGAGTCGACTCATGACAGTCATGAGTCGACTCAACCTGATGAGTCGACTCATGTTCATGTATGAGTCGACTCACGAGCTGAAAACTGGATTTTTCGAATCTGCTGCTCGTCGTCTCGTTCCACGCTTCCATCTGCGTTCCACTGTACTATTTTACACTCCTATTCTTATACTATCATGAGAATCATCTATCCTCAAGCTCCCATGAGGATCGCTAAGCTCCCGAAAAGAAGATACACCCGTATCATGGGTCTCCTCTTTAGGAACTTGAAGTCCCATTCAAGTTAGAATTTTTGCTGAGAAAACTCTCGAGCTCTTCCATCTTTTCTGCACCATCTGACCCTGCTAGGAACCTGGTCTCGACGTCCGATCGGAAATATCTCATCCATCCCGCGTCTCGTCGTAATCACCTTTCGCCCCAAGTTGCAATCCTTTATCGATGGCTTTTCTGGAAGTCTAATGCACAGCGAGACAAACTTCTTGCTTGTATGCACTAGTCTCTTCGCTCGCGTCACCGTCCCCAAGTTTGTCTCCCTCGGAAGAGATGCCGAACGAAATATGAACTTTTCACCATCCTTAGTGAAGGTGTACTTCTGAGCCCCCTCTCAATATACGACTCGTGGAACGCAAATCTGACAGTACATTGATCAACTACACTCAGTTTCTCCTCCTTCTTAATCCACCCCAATGGATAGGGCTTCGGATGCTTGATCGTTTTCAGACCAAGCTTCTGAACCAATTCCTCGGATATCAAATTCTTCTCATTGTCCGAATCAACAATGGCATCAACCAAACTGGTCTTCACTTGCAACTTAAGAACAAAGAGTTGCTCTCTCGGGTCATCGTCCTCTATCGTGGTCTGCTTCCCCGCTATAAGGTTAAGACTACTGTTGGGCTCTGTCATCCCCGGGACTTCTTTCGGACCTTGAGATATAATGTATGATTTTTCTCCTCCTTCTTCAACCCTCTTGGTTTGAGATGAGAATACTTCTCCCAGCACCGATCAACTGGGTGTCCTATCTTCTCTCAGTGACTACAAAATAGCCCTGCCTTCCCTGGATCACCCTTTTTCTTCTCCTCCTTAGATTGAGAACCACTAGACTCGCCTCCCGTCTGTTTAGAGTCTCCCTTAGTCTCGTTGCCCTTCTTTTGCTTGCCCTCGAGGGCAATAGCCTTCACGTTCGCCTCTGCAATTGATTCCACTGTGAATAGCTTCATCTTCTTTCGGATGTAATCGCTCAATCCCGTCATATACTTCATAAACACGGAATATTCCTCTGTCGCAATGTTGAGGACCATCGCTTGCTGCTGGAATTCCGTGGTGTATTCTTAAATGGTTTGATTGACCCTTTGGCGCAAGTCGTACCACTTGTACCAACGTTCTTCAAGGAATCCCACCGGGTAGAACTGCTTTCTCAGTAACTCCTTAAACTTGTTCCACGATACCGCCTTCTTCTCCTGCTTACAGTAGGATTTTCACCACGTCAACGCGTGTCCTGAAAGCTTCAAAGTCGTGAACACAATCTTTTCTTTTGACGAATAGCCATAAAGAGTAAAATATGTCTCCATCCGCTCGATCCAGTAATCAAGCCTCTCGACATCAATACTCCCATCATAAACATGAATCTCCACCTTGAAGTCAATCTTCAGGTTCTGATAAGAATTCTTACCCCCTTGATGCAATGCAGCCTTAACGGTCTCCTCCTCCTCGTCGGAATCTGAATATACTCTTTTCACATCGGACTCAACAATTTTCTTCGAAGAAGATTCACCTTGTTTGCCACCTTTATGGATAAGACTGATGAGTTGTGTGAGAGTCGAATCTATCGTCTCGATCTGCTTCTCCAATGCATCAATCCCCATGGAATTGTCTCCTTCAACCATTTTCTTCCTCCTTAAAACCTGGACTCCTTCCAATGAAATAAGGATCTCACCAAAAGGTGGGTTGAGAAGAAGACAACTAAAACACAAGAACAATTTAGTATGGCGAAGGAAAATACCTTCTCTAGATTATGAAGAATCAATTATTACAAATCTCTCCCTCACAATCTCTCTACAATCGAGAACAACCTCTCAATCCTCTCTAAACCCTAATACAATGATTAGAGTCTCTCTTAATTCCCTCTGATTACTTAGAAACCCTAAAACAATCCTTTATATAGGTGTACAAATGTGGATGGTAATCTGGTAAATAACCAAGCCCAAAATCAACAGGAATTCGTGTGAACAGAAACCCAAACGAATCAAGAAACCATCGATGAGTCGACTCATGACCTCACATGAGTCGACTCGTAACTCATGGGTCGACTCATAAACTGATAAGTCGACCGAGCAGAAACTTTTGACAAAACGGTTGGGTTTCGTGAGTCGACTTATGACAGTCATGAGTCCACTCAACCTAATGAGTCGACTCATGTTCATGTATGGGTCGACTCACGAGCTGAAAACTAGATTCTCCGAATCTGCTGTTCGTCGTCTCGTTTCACGCTTCCACCTGCGTTCCACTGTACTGTTTTACACCCCTATTCTCATGCTATCACCTGCGTTCCACTGTACTGTTTTACACCCCTATTCTCATGCTATCATGAGAATCATCTATCCTCAAGCTTCCATGAGGATCGCTAAGCTCCCGAAGAGAAGATACACCCGTATCATTGTACAAACAGTAAATTCAATTTTGTTCCTAGGGCACAACCTGGAGACCTCAAAGATAGGGCACTGCTGTTGGATTTGGGTGTGGATCCAAACCTCCATAGGTGAGCTCGAGGAGCTTCAGGCGAGCTCCACGCGAAGCTGTAGGCGAGGTCGAGCTCCTCCAGGCGAGCTTGAGCGCTGTGCAAGCGAGCTCGAGATCAGGCGAGGTTGTCGGTGAGTTGCAGGCGAGCTCGAGGCTTGCGTCAGGAGAGCTCAAGGCTTGTGTCAGGCGAGCTCGAGGCTTGCGTCAGGCAAGCTCAAACGGGTGAGGGCGATGAGGCGCAGGTGAGCTCCAGTGATAGCCTGTCGCCAGGCTATCGCTAGGGTTTTCTCTCTCTCTCTCTCTCTCTCTCTCTCTCTCTCTCTCTCTCTCTCTCTCTCTCTCTCTCTTCTCAGCTCTCAACAGTGAAGATTTGGGGGGAGATTTAAGAAGAGGAATTATTCACTGTAGCTACAGTGAATTGACAGATTTCAAGTTTCAGATCTACTCTTGCATTGTAATTTCTTTGATTAATAAGAAATTAATTGTGTGACTCTTGAGGACGTAAGCAAGTTTGTCGAACCTCGTAAATCTGGGTGTACTTTTCTCTATACTGTGTTTCTTGCTGCTTTAGGGGTTTAGCATAACCATGTGTATTTCCCAACAACAGGTATCAGAGTCTGAAATGATTTAGATAAAGTCATATTCAAGTGGGAGCGATGGCTGCAGATGAAGAAAATGTGAGATTAGAGAAGTTCGATGGAACATATTTTGGATTCTGAAAAATGCAAATAAGGGATTATCTGTATTAGAAAAATCTGTATCAACCCCTTTCAGGGAAGAGGCCAGAGTCTATGAAGGAGGATGAGTGGACCTTCTAGACAGACAAGCCCTCAGAGTTATTAGATTGACATTAACTCGTAATGTTGCATTCAATATTACAAAGAAGAAGACCACGACAGGTCTTATGACAGCACTCTCAAATATGTATGAGAAGCCATCAGCCGCAAATAAAGTTTATTTGATGAGGTGATTGTTCAATCTGAAAATGGCGAAAGGCGCGTCAGTAATACAACACATCAATAAACTCAATACGTTCACAACCCAATTAAGTTCAGTTAAAATTGAGTTTGATGAGGAAGTTTGAGCGATGATCCTTTTGTCTTCCTTACCAAAAGCTGGAACACTACAGTCATGATTGTGAGTAGCTCATCAGGAAGTAACAAGTTAAAATTCGATGACGTTTGTGATCCGGTTCTTAGTGAGGAGATCCGACGGAGAGAGTCAAGTGAAGCTACAACCTCTTCAGTATTACATACAGAGTCAAGAGATAGAAATTCAACCAGAAGGAACGGACAAGGCAAATCAAACTACAGAGGTAGATCAAAGGATAGGAGGTCCAAGTCAAGGAGTCCAAGCACCAACTCGAAGGCTATCGAGTGTTGGA